AATGTTGTGAAAATGGCAATAAAACCAAAGGCAATTTACACATTTAATGCAATCCCAATCCAAATACCAATCCCGTTCTTCAGCGAGATGGAAAAAGCAATCTCCAGTTTTGTGCGGAATGGCAAGAAGCCCCAAATAAGCAAAGCACTCCTTAAGAATAGAAGAATGGTAGGAGGTATCTTGCTCCCTGATTTCAAATCCTACTACACTTCCATAGTGGTAAAGACAGCATGGTACTAGTACAATGACAAACACATAGATCAATAGAATAGAATTGAGAATCCGGAGATCAACCCATCTATTTATGGTCAACTGATTTTTGACAAGGAGATGAAATCAGTCAAGTGGGGAAACGACAGCCTTTGTGTGTGTGTGTGTGTGTGTGTGTGTGTGTGTTTTAAACTGCTTTATTAACTTCACAATATTAAATTTATAGTTTACCTAAGAATGATTGAAACAAACATGAGAGAAACTTTTACATTGACAGAAAACAATATTCAATAAGAAACTGGAAAGTGCAAACACCAAAGAGCTGAAATTCAAACTAAATCACAGCAGCACAAACTGGAAAATAGAAGATATATATCGTTAGTCTCAGGGAAAACAGTAGTATTCAAGGTATAAGGCAAAACTCCTCATGGTTGTCCAGTTCAGGAATTTGGGAGCACATATAATGCTTCATCTGCTGCTCTTTTATCTTTCTTCTGACTTCTTTCCTCTCCTCCGTGTATCTTTCTGCATCATTTCCCTCTTCCCTATTGGGTGTGCCTCATGGAAAATTAGGAGCAAGTCGCCAAGTTCGTCCTCGCCTGCCATTTCCTCCAGGCTGCCGGCCTTCGTTTTCCTGGTGGGCATTTTCCACACTGACATTTTTCCCTGCATGTTCCTTTTTGGACTCCGTTACTCCTGGCCCTATTAGCCTCCTGCTCCTCGCTTCCAGGTGCGTGAAGCGATGCTCAGATCTTCTCCACCTGGTCACTCGGTCCCTGGGCCGCCACTATCCCCGACAGTCTTTTTAACAAATGGTGTTGGCAAAATTGGAAAAATATATGTAAAAGACTCAAGCAAGACCCACACCTCACTCCATACA